GCCCCCCTCCCCCCCCTCCCCCCCCCACGATCAAGTGCAGTATCTGCTTCGATCAGTTTCATATCCGATCTTCTCTCATGATCAAGCCGTAGTATCTGCTCCGTTCAATTACATATCTGATCCGTGGTCCATCGAGACCTTTCTATTTAAAACAAAACAAAACAAAAGCACTCGCGAACACGCGCGCGCGCGCGCGCGCGCGAGAGAGAGAGAGAGAGAGAGAGAGAGAGAGAGAGAGAGAGAGAGTCAATTAACTTCTTGGCAAACATTCGATTTTTATTGCGGGCGTAGCCGCAACAGGTCCCCTAGTATGTGTTAAGATCCAATCGAATCAATAGATTCGATGGGATCTTCGATCGATCGATTGATCGATTGATTGATTGATTGATTGATTGATTGATTGATCGATCGGACAAAAAAAAACAAAAACAAAAAAACGGGAAAGGAGGAGGCCGTTAACAAAAACAAAAGACGAAGAAGAAGAGGGCGAGGATTCGCGAGAAGATGACACAGAAGAAGAAGCGGCGAAGGATGAGGCCGGGGCGATGGAGAAAGGACGAGGAGGAACATGAAGAGGAGGAGGAGGAGGAGACGGAGGAGGAGGAGGAGGAAGAGAAGGACGAAGAAGAACAGGGCGAGGAGGAGGACAAAGAAGAGGTGGAGGAGGAAGAGGCCACGGCGATGGAGGAGGAGGAGGGAGAGAACTTAGAGGAGGAAGAAGGAGAAGAGGAGGAGGAGGAGGAGGAGGAGAAGAGGACTGGGAAGGGGATGAGGAAGAAGCGGAGGAGGAAGAAGAGGAGGAGGAGGAAGAAGAGGAGGAAGAACAGGAGGAGGGCCCGACGATGGAGGAGGAGGAGGGGGTGGAGGAAGAAGAGGAGGAGGGCCTGGCCATGGAGGAGGGGGAGGAGGCGGAGGAGGAGGAAGCCACGGCGACGGAGAATGAGGCCCCGCATGAAGAAGAAGATGGGGAGGAGAATGAGGCCCTGCTTTTATTTATTTATTTTTTGTCCGATCAATCAATCAATCAATCAATCAATCAATCAATCAATCAATCGATCGATCAATCCCATCGCCCAAAGATCCCTGACTCTAGGAAACAACCTCTTTGGAATCTATACCAGAAAGCTTTTCAGATCGGAACATAAGGAGGAGAAATGAGCACACAGATAGTCACACTGTTATTTAAGAAATGAGATGGAGAAGATATAAGAAATTACAGGCTCATTATCGTATTATTGGAAGCATATAGGATACTAGCTGCCGCCCCTTGTCAAGGAGCCTAGGGTCGAGTGGGTCTTCTTGATGTAAGGGACACTGACCTGTTTTCCCGCACTAGGCTCAGCCTTTTCCTATTTTCCATTCCCTTACCAGGTCACCCAATGCTCCCCCTACCTTGTTCCCATTAACCCTTGCTTTGCTCTTCTTCTACCCTGGTTTGGCCAGCCCACTGCACCCTAAGGCTTCTCTTGCGTCTTGTTACAGTACTGCTGATCACAGTTCTTCAGCCATGTTTTGGCCGATGACTGGAATACAGTGTTTGTCCCTTACCATGTGTGCGGATAGCTGAGTGGCGTAAGAATGTCAGAGAATATAGTGGCATGGGGCCAGTCCGGTCATGACAATCCCCTACCAATGTTAAGTGTGAAGGCACAGACAGCCTTTGAACTGCTGACCTTACCTCCAACAGGTTGGACCAACATTCTATACTTGTTTTCATGGGATGGTGACGTGGTGTACTACCCCATTGCAGCAGGTGCAGCGATTGAAGGCATCAACCACCGCAAGGATCCAGTTCTGGGGGCGACCTGTTGCTCCCAGACTAGTTGCCTGGGACGTTCATATTGTTGCTTGAAAAAAAAAAGGACGCAGCTAGATATTCCTGAACCGCAGGCTTTCATTTCTACGGACTCCTGTGTCATCGGTAATATTGATCGCCGCAGAGCCATATCTCAGATCCTCAGAGGCGGGAAACTAAAGATTAAGGATTTCTATTGTTTTCGTTTTTTTTCTTTTGTCTCCCAGCTGGCAGCTATATTGAAGATACCCATGTCGAAATTGAAGGCAGAGAGAGAGAGAGAGAGAGAGAGAGAGAGAGAGAGAGA